TTATTTGGTCATGCTGAGTTTTGCAAGTATTTTTGTTGTTGTGTTGTTTTTGGTTATGCTGATTTTTGCATGTTTTGTTGTTGGTTATGTTTATTTTTTTGTTGTTGTTTTTGGTTATGATGATATTTGCATGTATTTGCTGTTGGTTATGCTGATATTTGCAAGTCTTTTGTTGGTTATAATGATATGTGCATTTTTTTGTTGGTTATGCTGATATTAGCATTTTTTGTTGTTGGTTATGCTGATATTTTGCATGTTTTTTGTTTGTTGGTTATGCTGATATTTGCATGTTTTTGTTTTTGGTTATGCTGATATTTGCAAGTTTTTTGTTGGTTATGCTGATATTTGCAAGTTTTTTGTTGGTTATGCTGATATTTGTATATTTTGTTGTTTTGTACATGTTATTTGAGTAGGGCTAAGTTGTGTGATTTTTCGTGTGTTGTGTTTATTTATTATTTTTTTTTTTTTTTTGTAATTTGGATAATAATGAAGCATCTAGTACTTTTTCTTATCTTGTCATTTGTTGTTTGAGTGCGGAGATTATCTATTTTATCTATCTGTCTTTTGGGGTGACTTTGCATGCTTATAAAGATACCCGTACATACTTATGTTTATGCAAGTGGCACTCTTATTTGGCACTTGCGTCTGGCACGTTGAATTAACACTTCCAATGGCACTCCAACTCAACCTTTTTACTTCTGATTTTTTCTCGTCTTTCCGTTAGCTAACTCTTAGATATTGATATAAGCCTCTATATTTTTTTTTTTTCCTCTTTTTCTTCGTAAATTTATTTGAAATATCTAGGAATATTCGTTCGTGTAATGAAGGCAGTGATAAAGGCTAGGAATTGTGGGAAAAAAGTCATTTTAGTTTTTTTTTGATTCTGTGACGAATTTGGATCGCTATTTTGGGCTGCGTTGAAATTTCCAAACGCATGACTAGGGATTTTTTTTATTATTGTTTTGAAATTGGATTTTTTTTCAATCCAGTTATTTCTTTTTTAGGAGCTTTTGTAATTCCGAAAAAAAATATATATTTAATTGGTGAAACTTGGTCGAAGCATTTTGTTTTGTTTCGTATTACATATATATATATATATATATATATATATATATATATATATATATATATATATATATTATATATCACCTTTCTCATTTTTAATGTTCTTGCCTGCGTTTGTATCAAAGTGGAAAATAAAGAGTAAATTTTAAATATAGAATGAAGTAGAAAGTGAAGCCATAAATCAACTTCATGTGTTGCTGTTGCATAAATTACAGCAACATTCAAGTAAATGAGAGAGAGAGAGGAGAGAGATGAGATTGAGATTGATATTATATATATATATATATATATATATATATATAGATAGATAGATAGATAGATAGATAGATAGATAGATAGAAGAAGATAGATAGATAGATAGATAGATAGATAGATAGATAGATAGATAGATAGATAGATAGATAGATAGATAGATAGATAGAGAGAGAGAGAGAGAGAAAGTGAGAGTGAGAGGAAAAAATTAGAGATAGAGATAGAGATAGAAAGAGAGAAACGACAGAGAGAGACAGAGACAACAGATAGGCAAAGAGACAGACAAACAAACAGACAGACATAGAGACAGGCAGACACAGAGACAAATAAAGAGAATGAAACAAGATAAGAGGGAAAGAAAGAGAGACACAGAAAAGGAAAGATAGAGAGAGATAGACTGAGAGAAGCAACACATAAAGGAAATTATATAGAGAAAGAGAAAGGAAGGGATTGCAAATTGCAGAGTGCCTGTCGTTTCCGTGTGAATATCATCACCTTTGTGCGAGAGAAAGATAAATAGAGGAAATGTTTACTCGAATCATTATGATGATCATGGTGGCAAGGGATGGTAGTGATAATAATAATATTGATAGTGATGATAATGATTTGGAAGATTATAATGATGATAATGATTAAGAAGATTATAATAATAGAAATGAGAAGATTAATGAAAAGATAATTAAGAAGATATAATGATTAAGAAAATTAATGATAGAAAGATTATATAATGATAAAGATGATTAAGAAGATCATGATTAAGAAATTATGATGATATGATTATTATAATGATAAAGATGATTAAGAAGATAGTGATTAAGATTATAAAAGATGATTAAGAAGATCATAATGATAAAGATGATTAAGATCACAATGATAAAGATGATTCGGAAGATTATAATGATAAAGATAACAACAGTAATAAAAATCACAACATTGTTATAACAATGACAATAATAGAATAAAAACAATGATGAGAATTATATATAAGAAAATAACCATACCAACAACGAAAACGAAAAAGCAACTGCAATCAAAACGCCGCCTCCCCCCCCCCCGAAAATAATAGATAAAAAAATCCAAGCGTAAATATTACCGAGATGATCCCCCCCCCAAAAAAAAAAGAAGAAAAAAAAATAAAATGAAAAATATAATGAAATAAAATAGTCAAAGCGTAAGTATTTCC